TTAGGGGCCCTCCCAGTGGCGTAGTGGTTAAATTTGCATGCTTTGCTTTGGCGGCCCAGGGTTCACAAGTTCAGAGCCTGGGCACGGACCTACACACCACTCGTCAGGCCATGCTTTGGCAGTGTCCCACATACAAAAAAACAGGAAGATTGCCACAGATGTTAGCTCAATGACAGTCTTCATCAAACAAAAAGAGGAAGATTGACAACAGATGTTAGCTCAGGGCCAATCTTCCTCACAAAAGAAAGAAAGAAAATAAATCCTTTTATATCCTTGGTTAGTTCTTGTTCCAAGTTTTGCTGTTTTCACACTTTTCCCATTACTCATTTTGACCTTTTGATCGTTCTTTCCCTCCAGCTGCATGGAAGGCGTAATTTATGTCCCTGCATAACCTACGTCTAAGATTTCCAAATTTATCCTAATCTTCAAGCATCCTTTCCTTTCAGGTCTAGCCATTCTGCCAATGCCCTTGATCCTTTTCTGTCCTAACTTAAGGACCTTGAACTACAGAATCTTCTCTGTCTCCATCCTCTCCTTTTCTACTACCTCTTTATTATCAATATACTTTGTGAATTTATAAATTAAAAGAAGCTTCTAGGGGGCTGGCCTGGTGGTGCAGTAGTTAAATTCGCACGTTCTGCTTCAGCAGGTTCAATTTGCACGTTCTGCTTTGGCAGCCTGGGGTTTGCCAGTTCAGATCCTGGGTGTGGAGCTACGCACTGCTTGTCAAGCCATGCTGTAGCAGGCGTCCCACGTATAAAGTAAAGGAAGATGGGCACAGATGTTAGCTCAGGGCCAGTCTTCCTCAGCAAAAAAGAGGAGGATCAGCGGCAGATGTTAGCTCAGGGGCTAACCTTCCTCAAAGGAAAAAAAAAGTTTCTAGATACCATTGTCTCACTGAACCTTCACACTTTTTAAACTATTTATTGTGCTTCCACCATGTGCCATGACCTTTATAGAGCAGAACTTAGAACAGTGAATATAAGGTCCTGGCCCATAGTTTATAGTTGGAGACATGGTACAAAAACATTTTCTAAGAGTGAAAATTGCCCTAAAGAAAGTGAAATTACAATTCATTTTAAGGCAACTTTTGGGCTGAGGCCTAATAAACAAAAGAGGCAGTCTTGCTTTGCTCAGGGAGAGGAGCATTCCAGGCTGAATGAGAGAGGAAGCATGAAGACCCTGCCCTGGAGCCAAGCGTAGCCTTTCTGAAGTAACAGCAACAGACCCAGAGTTGAGTACAGCATAATAGGGAAGAGAGAGAACATGAGGTCTGAAGGGTAAACAAAGACGACAGAATAAAATCTACATTATGTTCTAAGTGACCAGAGCAATTCGGGAATTTTCAGTGGGGAAATGGTATAATCCAGTTTCTGTTTTTAAAAATACTATGTTGCCTGCTATGCAGGAATTGTATTATGGGATGGGGAAATGAGTGAGTGGTGGAGTGTTGAGTTGGAAGTAGTCAGATTAGAGATGACAGTGGCTTCACCTGGGGTGGTAGCCATGGAGATAAAGAACTGTGGCTAGTTTGGGATATATTTTGAAAGTCCTGCCAACTGGTCTTGCTGCTGAATTAAAGGAAAGAAAAAAAATCAGTGAATTTTAGTTGTCTGGCTTTAGCAGTTTATTGAAGGATAAACACCATATACCAAGATTGTCAAAGAAATGCTTTGGAAGGGAAACAATGGGTCTGGACCTTGTTAAGTCTGAGGTGCTGATTAGACGCTGAAGTAGGCACTTGAGCATTTTCTCTTTCAGTTGGCACTAGTCTATGTTACTCTCTCCTCTCCTTTTAAGGCTCTTACACTTCGGTTTTTCTCCTACTACATCAACTCTTCAGTGCTCTTTGCATGTCTCCTTCTTTGCTTATCTCTTAAAAATGGTCCTCCTCACAGTTTGGATTCTAGAGTGCTTTTGCAGCCTTCCAGACAAGGAACATCTGCTTATTAACAAGTACCCTGTGCCCCCAATCCAGTAAGCACATTTCCAGAGAGAAACACAGTTTGAGTCCCTTTCCCCAGCCCAGCCTCCACGTTCTTAACAACCTGAAAAATTTAACTCATTTCTTTAACCTCCAGAATAAAAAATCTTTAATTTATTAATTGGGACAATCTTTTTTTCCCTCAAGGAAACATAGTACGTATGCATTAAGACATATGAGTAACTGGAAGATATTTTCCAAGAAGCTTTAATAAGTAAGAACAATTTACTAGTATACCAATTATGAGATGAAATTTGTCTGCTTAGAAATTACTAATATAGGTTATCTTCTGTATTGTTGTCATAAACCTCCCTCAGTGTGGATTGTCATCAACCCCTATTGTAAATACACAAGTCACAATGGAAAATAATTTGCCAGGTGAATGGCTAGGGTAACATATTGGAGCATTAAAGCTATGCTAGTGTAACACTTCTGAGCCCCTTGCTGGAGTCTGGTGGAGGAAGTGCCAGAGGATCAGACTCAGCAGGCTTTTGGATATAATTCAAATGTCGTAACTAAGCCAGCATTCACATCTGTCATCTTGTCATTCTGAAGCTCTGAAGACAAAAACTGCTCCTTCCAGTTACTCCCAAAGAACCTGTCCACATTCTCCATCTACAGAGTCATAAATAATTGTAAATTGGTATTTGCTAGGTAGTTAAAACTAAACATTCTGAAACATTTTGCATTTTTTCAATAAACCTATTTTGTATCAGATGGGAACAAATGTACTTACTGTATCTCATAAAATCTTGTGTTTTCTAAAGTAAATGAGAAATAGTTCAAAACTAAAAATACAATTAGAACTGTGCTTTTTTCCTTTAAGGTTTAATGCATGTGCACAATAAACTTGTGGATCCACTATACAGTATGAAAGAAGGAAAATGAAGGAGATTGGAGCAAAATTCTGCTTGACTGAACAGAACACTTTTATAAGTAGTATATGAACTTTCAGCTATGCAATATGATATAAAACATGGGGAGTTTTTGAAGAGCATCATTTTTCAAGTCCAATATCTATATGTTAAACATTCCATATTTAGGATATGTCCATTTTATACTAGGGTTTAGGAGAAGTAGTTGGCTCTCACAATTAACTGGCTGTTTATTAAGTATATAAACCACCTAGACATTCTATAAAACAGCACAGAAATGAAATGTCTGCCTGTTTAAACATTTTAAAAGTAATTTTAAAGGTGGAGATTCTGTACATCAAGTACATTTTTATTTTTTAATCACACTCCAAGCCTTTCAGGTATCAAACAACTATCACGGCAAACCTTTACTTTTGGAACGCTACCTTTGTATTTTGGGGGCATTATACACAAGCTTTCTGCACGTGGTTGCCTTAGTCATCTTCCTGCAATAGCATCTGGACATCAAAAGTCCTGCTATGTATTGTTGGTAAACAAAATCTAGAGATGACAGTGCCTAAAAGTACAGTTTATGTCCTTTTGGAAGGTATGTCTAAGTGCATGATTTTTGTGCACCTTCTTCTATAGCACTTTTTTACAAATGTGCTCTTATTTAATGACTTGGGTTCATGCTTTTCATATAAATATTTTGGCAGTTATGAGCTTTATACCTAGCAACACTCTTAAGGAAATTCTTTTGAAGAAAATTTTCTGATTATTGTTAAACTTCATAAATTAGCTTTATTTCTTACATATATGTCTAAAAGGATAATATGATGAAGTGTACATACAAAAGGAATTACTATAAACTATTTTAGATTGTCATAACTTGCATCATTAAACTGCAAATAAAAGTATATTGTTTTCTATCTTTAATTCAAATAAAGTTTATAATAACAAATGTTATCTAAATTTTATTTCTAGAAGTGAAACTGAATACATGCATCTGAGAGAGTCCAACAATTAATAGTAGCTGTGAGCCTGCATTTACTGTTTGTCTGTTGCCATCATACAATTAGGAGATTTAAGTCAAAAGACAGTATCTCTGTCTATAATTTCTTAGTCTTGCTCCTTGGGGAATAAAAAATGTTCTCTTTAGTCCGCATGTTTTGCATCTTACAAGCCCACCTGGTAGAAGCATTACTTATATACCTGCTTAACTGCCTATGTGATTGAAATGTATTTATGGTTAAGTTCCTTAAAATATTTAAATAGCAAATAAATAAAAATAAATAAAACCATTAGATAAAATATGCTGCTTTAATTCCAGTTAATGAAGTTTTAATAGCCTTAAGCGTTATAAATGGTTTTTAAATGACTAGTGAATGAATCAGTATCATTTTCCAGTCACACTCCTGGTAATAAAGTATTAGTTACTGCAAACTAACTTTACTACCTTAGAAGGGTCATATAGTATCATAGTGAAAAAACTAAAGATACCTGTTGCAGTGCATGGTTCACCAGTTATTTCTGTGCTTTAAATGTGCTAGCTGAAACAGTGTCTAAAGATCTTTCCATAACTGCCCTTCATGTTGAGAGGCTAGTTTAGGTCCATGTACTCAAGCTCCTCAGCAAACTGATTTCTGGCCACTTTAGCTCCCTAAGTCAGGAGCTAAACTGCTGTTAGGGAAAGAACTAAGAAGCCTATTGAAGGCATTTCCACAAGAGGCAATAAAGCGTGGTAGCTAGGAATTGGGGTTTGGAGAGAGAAGCCAGCGTGTATCCCAGCTCTGTCAGTAACTGACACTGGGCAATACATAAGTCTGAGCTGCTTCCCCTATAGAATGGGATGGTAACAGCACCTATACCTCAGTTGTTGTGTAGCTTGAATGAGGGAATGACTTGCACTCAGCACACTGGCTGTCACATATTAAACTCAACAGTGACTATGCTAATCTTACAGTTGACATTATTTTAAAAGTTCGCAAAAATTTTAGTAATGAAAGGTCCTCTAGGGGATATATTAGGAGATATACAACTCTAAATCATGAAAATCACCTGTTGGGGAGAGTGGCCAGGGAGAGAACTTATGCTTACGCTTAAATATTGGAAAAATACTTTTCTGTACTGTTAGATTACTAAAGAAACTGTTTCCTGAAAAGTCAGAGGTTAAAGGAAGAAATTTAATTGGGTCCATACTGCAAGCATACTAATTAAGCACAAATATTAAATAGTAGACACATAGTGTAGACATATAGTGCATACTGTGTGCCAGGTACCAACTTGTAACTTTCCCCTGGCAATAATGGTAGAACAGAATATTTTGTTTTAGAAATTATATTAAAATGTTTTTCTAGTTTCAAATATACTGCCATTTTCCAAAATACTATTGTGTGGAGTCTCACATTTCATCTGTTCTATTAGAGCTAGAAGAGGTAGGGAAGATATCTGAACTGATTAATTTATATAACTAGGACTAACAGGTTACTTAAGATTAATTTATAAAACTAGGACTAAGGTTATTTAACCTCTATAAACAATTTTAAGTCAGTTCCCACTATCTTAATTTATAATTAAAATCATCTCATAATAACCTTAGTATAAAATTCATCATTGATAGTCTTATCCCTAAAAGACATTTACTTCATTCGGTTCATTCAAGATAGCGGACAAAAATCAATGGCTAAATTATAAAATATAAAGCTTACTGTAAAACAGTCTGCCCTCTGGTTTGTTCACTGAGTAAACATGCTTTGGAGTAAGACAGCCATTTTACTGGCTTTGTGACCTCAGGAAAGTTACTTAACTACTCTAAAGAACAGTCTCCTTAATTATGAAATCTAGACAATAATTACTGAACTGTCATTAATAACAGCTTCTGCTAATACCAAATACCTATCACTTTGCACAAATGCATTTTAATTATCAGAAATAGGACAGCCCCCACCATGATTTTAATTTAGATGTAGATATAAACTGTCTGGTTTCAAACTAACATTTGTAAAAATTTTATTAAAAACTAGAGCACATTATAGAGTATGTTATCTGACTTTTATTAAATAACATTCATATATATCATCTAAATTCAGCTAACAGATTGATACTTAAGGTGATTTTGAAAATACTTTTATTTTGGGCTTGAACTAGGCAGAATCTTAAGTATGGGGCCTGTGTTGGTAAGAAAAATATGCATGAAAACAAAATAGTTAAAATTCAGTGAGCACTTATTATGTGTCATGCACTCTTCTGAATATTTTAAACATATCTCATTTAATTTCACAACAACCTGTGGAGATAAGTAATAGTATAATCCTGATTTTACTAAATAGTAAATAGAGAGTGTAAGTAATTTGGCCAAGCTCACCTTGCTAGTAAGTAGTGGAACAGAAATTTGAAACAGGAAATAGGGCCTCAGAACCAAGCTCTCATCCATCCACTACTTCCTTTCAAAGAAAAGCCAATAGGTTATGTAAACCTGAAAACCCTGAAAGTAACAAGCAAATTTTATAATTTTCATTCATGTTATAAATAATATTATAAATTATATATTATACTAAAAAACAAACTACTAAGAAAAAGGATACACAGTTTTTAATTTATGAAAATTCCTTATATTTGCCCACCAATTATTTATCAGATTGTTTTTTCAGAACTTTTATAAAAGCATCTTTTGGAACTTCAACGTTGCCAACTTTTCTGAGTTTTTTCTTTCCTTCTGCTTGTCTCCTCAAAAGTTTCATCTTTCGGGTAATATCACCGCCATACTGAAACATATTTTTAAAAATTGGAAGACCAAATCACTCCACAGAAACATAATCATACAATTACATAATACATCAACACAACTACAACCACTTTACACTTATTATCCATGGAGGTAGACATCTCCAAAGTTACCTCTCTAATCCCCTTCCTAGCAGATCCTAGTTTTTCTACCTTCTGAAAGAATGATAAAGGCTTTACTTATTTTTTCGTATGGAAATGAACATCTCCAAGGAAACCTAGTACTACATTGTGCATGTCAAGGAAGAATTATCAATCTCCTTATTGATTCAAGGCTTGAAATTTTGGATTATATAGCTGTAGTCTATACTGAAACTCACATGGGCATAAATGTTCCAGTCCCTATGCTAAGGACTGAGAGACACCACTTATCACTTAATATAATAACAGTTAAGAATATTACGTTTGTTAATAGATGACACCAGCAAACTTGGCAAAGCAACACAGGAGAGGTGGATTTCAATTCCCACCCTTTTCCCACTGTAAGACAAAGCCATGGTCTTCAAAATCTTTCCTTATAAATTCGATCAACAAAACATGTTATCCTGGCCATAACTTATATAAAATACTTTCTTAGGTATTACTTACATATAAAGGAATTTTTATAAGATGGAAAAATATTTAAGACTGGGATCAAAATGAATACGCTATCATAGTCAAGCTAAAATTTACCTATTTAAAAAGAAAATTTGGATATGAAAGGACATTATAAACACCAACAATAGAAACCAAGATACTTATACCCCCTTTTGATTTTAAACTCATAAAATAGATATATCATTAAAAAGTAGAATATAGGTAGATACGTACACATTTTGCCAAAACATTTTTCCTATAAGCTTTCACACTGTAAAAGAGGAAATTTCATATCAGTACATAAGTTCAATATACTATTCAAAAGTACTTTATTTTCACAATCTCCCCTTTACTAAAGATTTAAATGATCGTGTCATACCTGTGTAAAACCGCCATAAGCAAATAACTAGCTCAAATGCTCTTGTATTTGAAAGTATTTGAGATAAAATAGAAAATCGATTCAACAGGAATATCAACATAAATTTTATTAAGAATAAAAAAAAGGTCAAGGCTTAAGTCTTGTGGGTAGTCTTGATTAGGCCAAACTCAAGCATGGTGTGACCTTGATTACCAGAATTATATAAGGTCATTTCTGGCTCAACCTAAAAATACTACCACTACTACTTCTAAAAAAATTAAAGATGGTTGTTATCTTATTACTAACTCCTCCGAGTGTGGGTCAAGAGTATCTAGGAATATAAAGAATATACTACTTTTATAAAACCCATTTCAGGGTAAACTGAATTCAGGGTAAATAATTTTAATATATCCATCCAAACAGGTATAAACTAATCTATTTCATTCATGTTTCAGAGAAATGTGGACGATCAGAAATTCAAAAATAGCTCCATTATTATGTAGTCCTTAAGAAGACGTATTCATGAAACACAAAATTACTAACTAAAGCAAGACAGTATTAAGAAATGAAATTCATTGCAAATCTAGGCATAAACTTTATCTCAAGACTTTATGAAAATGATTGTTGTATTTCACTGCTACAGATACATTAGGTTTGGGTTAACCTAGAATTGAACAGCAATTTCCAACTGAGGAGATACTTCTGATTTCCCAGAAGTTTTAAGCTCATCAAGGAAAGGAAATGGGAAATGCTGCAGGATACTTCCTACACATATTATTAGTTACAGAGCAGCTTATTCGATGTTCTGATTTATACATTTTAGGAAAAGGACCCATTTCCTACACAAATTAGCCTATGTTCCAAGTCTGCTATATCACGTGAGGTCCCTAATCTAGAATGCAAAGCCTAACATGATAATAGCATTACTCTCTCACCTTTCTGATTTACAACCTCACTAGCCCTGAGAAAGTGATATTAAATGCTTTAAGTAAAAATCAGTTTAATTTTGTCTTTTGGAAGAATATCTCCAAAACCTTTTGTTTCAGTTCCTATTAGCTTATAATCTACTTGAAGGTATAAAACCATAAAAACTTTACAGAAATTCCTTACCCAGGAAATTCAGTACAGCCATTCAATAAATGGGTGGAAAAAAAGCAATTCCTCAAAACCATATACATTATATTAATAACCATAAATAATATCACCCAAAAGTGTTACATAATTCAAAGTAACAATCAATTAAATTAATGGAATTAAGAGTCAGATTAGTGTTTCTACAAGTAGGAATAAAGCTTAGGCCAATGTTAAGTTATATTTTTCAGTATTCTTTCATTTTATAGGTATATCATTTCTAAAACCAACCCAGGAACAAGAATGAATTTCAACTCACGTTTCTCTTGCAATGATTTTACTTCCGACAGCAGCTTGAACTGCTATCTCAAATAGCTGCCTAGGAAGAGAATCCTTCAGACGTTCACATATGGCTTTGCCAACAGAGTGTGCTTTATCTCTGAGACAGACAAAATCCAAGTATTTACATATCATAAATAAGAATGTTTAAAGTAGCTTTCTAGTCCATATGCATAATCAATATAAAGGTGATTTCTTAAGGAGGTTCAAATGGAACACATTTATCATCAATATCACTTACTCTGAATCATGTATGACTTTTCTGATTGCAAAAATAACATGGTCTATTATAGAAAATCTAGAACAAAAAAACATTAGAAAAGAAAAACCATTCCTTTATTTATTTTTTTTTTTTTGAGGAAGATTAGCCCTGAGCTAACTACTGCCAATCCTCTTTTCTCTGAGGAAGGCTGGCCCTGAGCTAACATACATGCCCATCTTCCTCTACTTTTTATATGGGACACCTACCACAGCATGGCGTGCCATGCAGTGCCATGTCCACACCTGGGATCCGAACTGGTGAACCCTGGGCCACCGAGAAGCAGAACGTGAACTTAATTGCTGTGCCACCAGGCCAGTCCCAGAAAACCCATTCTTGATGCCCTTCCCCTCAGCCATATAAAACCAACTATTAAACATTTTAGAATGTTTATGTTAAACATATATCCTTCTAGTTATTTTCCTGCATACATATTTATATGTTTTTTACAGTTTGGATCATAGTGTATATGATATATTCTACCTTTTTATTTAATAGATTTTTTTTTTTACTTTTTATTAAGATTATCATAGTTTACAACCTTGTGAAATTTCAGTTGTACATTATTGTTTGTCAGTCGTGTTGTGGGTACACCACTTCACCCTTTGTGCCCACCCCCTACCCCCCTTTCCCCTGGTAACCACTAATCTGTTTTCTTCGTCTACATGTTTAACTTCCACATATGAGTGGAGTCATACATAGATTGTCTTCCTCTATCTGGCTTATTTCACTTAACATAATTCCCTCAAGATCCACCCATGTTGTTGTGAAGGGGTGATTTTATCCTTTTTTCTGGCTTAGTATTCCATTGTATATATATACTATATCTTCTTTATCCAATCATCAGTTGATGGGCACTTATGTTGCTTCCATGTCTTGGCTATTGTAAATAATGCTGCAATGAACATAGGGGTGCACGGGACTTTTGGAATTGCTGATTTCAAGTTCTTTGGATAGATACCCAGTAGTTGGATGGCTGGGTCATACGGTATTTCTATTTTTAATTTTTTGGGAAATCTCCATACTGTTTTCCATAGTGGCTGCACCAGCTTGCATTCCCACCAGCAGTGTATGAGGGTTCCTTTTTCTCCACAACCTCGCCAACATTTGTTACTTTTTGTTTGTGTTATTTTTGCCATTCTAATGGGTGTAAGGTGATATCTTAGTGTAGTTTTGATCTGCATTTCTCTGATGATCACTGATGATAAGGATCTCTTCATGTGCCTAGTGGCCATCCATATACCTTCTTTGAAGAAATGACTGTTCATGTCCCCTGCCCATTCTTTGATCAGGCTGTTTGATTTTTTGTTGTTGAGTTGTGTGAGTCCTTTACATATTATGGAGATTAACCCTTTGTCAGATATATGACTTGTAAATATTTTTTCCCAGTTAGTGGGTTGTTTTTTTGTTTCAATCCTGTTTTCCCTTGCCTTGAAGAAGCTCTTTAGTCCGATGAAGTCCCATTTGTTTATTCTTTCTATTGTTTCCCTTGTCTGGGACGACATGGTGTTAACAAACATTTTTTAAGTCACCAAATATTACTCTACAGTACAGTTTTAATGGTTTAAAATAATAGATTATTATCCAGGTGCTCCATAATTTATTTTAACCAATCTGCTATTTCTTGAACATGTAGGGTATTTCATTTTTCATTATAAATTTTTTTATGAAGATAAAAAACATTTTCTCAATTCTAGATCTCACATAAAGTTTAAAACCCATTTTCTTTTGTCTTACCTGTATAAGCAAGGGCAACATTTTAAGGGCAACATTCCTTTCCATGACATTATTCTTTCTGGCTATCATAATTCTATTCTCCTTTCATATTTTTATAGTTTGGAAACAGAAGCATGGAAAAAGAATGGAAGGAAAAACTAGTAAAGGGAAATTTAATCAATTACCTTTAAAAGTTTTCAAAATGTAGCTGTCAAATAAAAATGAGCAACCAATAGTTAAATAAAAACATGTCAAAAGTCATTCCTTTCATACTCCATGATTAGTTTCTATTCAACTTACTTGTGTACGACAGTTACTAGCTCCTCTACAAGATTTCCGTTCAGTAGAATATCCATTTTTACAAGGTCTGCAGTCTGGTAGCCAGCATCTTCGTAATCAAAACTGAACAGGAAAAATGTCCAAGTGTTAGATAAACATTATACTTCCCAAGAGATTACATTTTTCTTTCTTTGCAAATCTTTGCTACCCGGTTCTATACCCCCCTATTTTATTTCCATCAAAACAGTCCATGTACATTTCAGGTGAATGGATCTAAGTGACCACAGTAAGAAAGCAACTTCCTCATCTTTTTATATTTATGAAATGAGAGGCAAAAGCAACTGGAACATGCTCTATAGAAGGAAGGAAAAGAAACTAGTACACCGTCTACAAAAACGGATCACTGAAGGCAAATGTCACCTTCCTACTGTCCCCTCCCAGCAGCTGGCTGACCGCATAAAGTAGTATATACTAACTACTCATTCTCAGATTCATGAGTTGGGTTTCTATTCAGTTTTTTATTACCAGCTAAATAAATGCTATGGCATTGATAAACAGCCATTAATAAGTGAGATTTTTGGATTTCATATATAGCTCTTCAGTTTGAACCTTCACAGTGCTTTTTTGAGGATAAAATGAGTTCATGCATGTAAAGCACTTGACCTGTGCCTAGTAAATAGAGATCCTAGTCTAGCACATACAAACACCTAGTGTCAGCTATTACTAGTAACAATATGATCAAAGCTTACAATGAAATTAAAACAGACATGTTTAACGAGAGTTTAATTTACAAACCTAAAGTCTAATGAGAAAGGAAATTTCAGTTATGCTTACATGTCTTCTCGATTATGGACAAGAACATGTGTATTCCTATTGTCTTAATTTTAAAACAAACTGGTGCCTAGAGTTGCAGATACGTTTGGTTTCTAAAGGTTTTCAGCAGGAAGGTCACGAAGTGATACCAATGCTCTCTAAAACCAGATTACTGCCTAAAGTTGCTAAAATCCATTCTTTCTTCAACAAACATCATTAAGCACTTACTATCTGAAAGACATCGTATTAAGTATTATGCAGAATACAAAGAGAGCTAAAACATAGTCCCTAGACTTTCACCTTGTTTACAGCTTTAGTATGTTTTCCGCTCCAAAATTTTGTGTTTCCAAGCCAGCCCAACGGAAACCTAACCTCTATTCAAAACACGAGCATTCAAGGGTACTTCAAATGCAGGGAAGACCTTCAGAACTCCAAAAGGCTACTGGGGGATTGAGGGCAAACAGCTCTATTGGTTAAGTAACAGAAGCAGCCTCACTACAGTCTTTATATAACACAGGAATCCCCCTTCCGACCCAGCTGCAGTAGATTCTTGCCATTTAGGATCAGGGAAATTGTTCCTGATCTCAATCCATGAAAGATCTACGGCCTAGGTTAGAAGGCCATGGACTACGATGAAGTTTTGTTAGGAATTGACTGCATATGAAAAACATCCATCTTGAACGTAAGAACAAAAGAGCCTTAATTTTGGAAGCTGGAATTATTTTATTTTTACATAGTTCAAAGTAAACCATGTTCTCTCATTTAATTTGAAATATATCAAAGTTTCCAAGCGAAAAGACTTCAGGACCACTTAACAGAGAAAGTGGTACCCAAAAGCAAACTACAATTGACAGACTTTTGTTAAAAATGTTCATAAACATTCAGCTTAGTAATCATTCTTTTGTCTATAGTAACTGTTTAACAACAAGCTGCCTCAATTCATTTTACTTTAAATTCCATTGCCACTTTTTCTGAAAGAAGACACAGAAGGAAAAAATGAGTGACAAAGCAGAAAAAATAAATTCTCAAAAGAAACAAATGTAAAATTCCTTGGTATCAAGAGTTACAGAGGCAGGCCCCATGGCTGAGTGGTTGAGTTCGCGTGCTCTGCTTCGGTAGCCCGGGGTTCGCTGGTTCGGATCCTGGGTGCGGACCTAGCGCTGCTCATCAGGCCACGCTGAGGTGGCATCCCACAGAGCAGAACTAGAAGATACAACTAGGTACTGGGGGACTTTCAGGAGAAGAAGAAGGAAAAAAAGATTGACAACAGATGTTAGCTCAGGTGCCAATCTTTTAAAAGAAAAAAAAGAAAAGAAAAAGATTTATGCCCTCTTCACTGAAAAGTTAATTTCATAAAGCTAATAATCTTCCAGATACTGTAGCATATTCTTTAAACATTGGAATTTTTCTTTGAATGTTCAGTTTAAACACCTGTGCACATACATGTGTGCATGTATGTGTGCGTTCTACAGACATGAATGTTCATTCTTCCCTTTACTTCCTCAGTATGTTTTATATTTCCTTTATACTCTATTATATGCCATCCAGTAATAGACTTTAGGATACTAAGGGTATCAAGTCATTTACACCAAGAAAAAATAATCCCCAAATCTATGCACCAAGTTCCTTATTTGTTATTTAATATTAACTCTTCCTTCACTTTTATTAGGCTGTTCCTCCATGTACTCCTATGGGATAAGACAATAGTTTTCATGATGTGGACCACTTATTCCTGGCAAGACCGAGTTATTAAAGTGTTCAAACATAAGGGGCACAACTAAGCATTTTTTACATACAAAGTATGTACTTCTATTTTTCAAAGGTATACAGATGCTCCCAGGATTACATAACATATGAATACATTTTAAAAGTGCCACTGAGGTCAGAGTAGCTTTTTGAAATTATGTCTAATTCTTAATCAACAGACAGGAGGAATACAACTCTTTTTGTGAAGAGGGCACTAAAATTTTTTCATTAAGAGGGTAAGAGTTTGATGAATCAAAGGAACTCATTCTCCCATAAGCAAATTGCAAGCACTCTGTAAAACTTGTAATGTTGCTCCAAGCCTCCTAGCCTTAGAGTGTGATTCTCAACTATCTTCAAGAGAGCTGAGATTGTTAAATAAGTGAAGTTATTAGTGCACTCTTGATGGTCAATATTTCAAAAATATTGTCCAGGTATCCGAGTTTCCCATTAAATTTTTACCTAGCATATCCAGAAGACAGGGATTTCAGTGAATCATAAAAATCCACCACAATTTCATTCAAAGGGAAGAGATATTTAAGCATAACTCTATTTTGATCAATAAACATCATATCCTTCTCAACTGCCCTTCGAGCCTAAAAAGGAAAGAAAAATATGTTTAATGATAATCTAGTCAAATAATGATTTAAAAATGAATACAGATATTAAACTTTAAAATTTCCTTACAAATTCTAATAAAGACTGGGCAAAACGAAGGAATATTTCTTTAATGGTCTAGTAAAAACTTGCGAGCAATTCCTAATACAGAGAGAACCATTTCGTAGTTCAATTACAGAATACTTGCTACCAAAGCTTTTAATCTTTTGTCTTTATCTAATAATGTTATCTTTTTTAATTATACAGTTTTTCATTTAACAATAAATTAAATTTAACTACAGATAAAGTCAAAGTTGTAATTTCTTGTTTTACAAATAAAGAAATTAGGTCCAGGGAAACTAAATGATTGAGCAAAGTAATAATCTAGCTTGTGGTAACAGAATTAAAATTCAAGTCTATTAGTCATCATTTGAGGGTTCTTTCCAGTGTGTGTCAGAGTATTTCAAATAGGTGTTTTTTGAGGAATATGATTATATCTGATTTGTGGATTAAATCATTATTACAGTGTGGCAAAACCTAAAGCACAACGGGGAATATCCTTCAATCAAAGGTCTCTGAAGTATTATAATTACCTTTCAAACTATATTGAACTTCAGCTACTCAAAAAGGCTAAAACAAATTACACTTTAGCTATTCAGGATAAATAAGCATCCAATTTCTTTCCTTTGGGCTAAAATATCAATGCAGTAAACTAACACAGATGATCAAAAATTCTGGCTCTATTTTTCTTATTTAAAATCAAAATAATTTTTAAAAGTATGTGTGTCTACATCTACAGGTATAGATATAGATCTCTTTCTCTCTCCATATGTATAGATCTTTATGAAAATTTCTTATTAAATTCAATGTGCTCTGCAGAGAGAAATCTTTCAAAACCTGAGCTGGGAAGCACTGTTTGAGAGAACTAAAACTTACTTTTGTATTAAATTGTATTATATTTATACCTGGCAAAGCATCATTATTTTTCCAGTATATTCATCTGGTGTGATAATGGTGCCCAAAACAACTGGCTCCAAATATTCTGTTACTTTTGACTTATCAGGGAATTGTGCAGGATTGATGATTGTAATTTCCTTTTCTCTATATTCCTAAAAATATGAAAAGACACCAATAGTTAAAAAGAAGTCTTAATTATTACCATGTTTTTAAATTTCCTTTAATTTATAGTACATGCTAGAATTTATTGTTACTAAATTTGTTGGAATAAAAACAAAAGAATTCTGAAAGGTTAGAATACTATCTTAACATGCTTTTGATTAAGAAAACTCTCCAATTATAATCATTTAACATTTATTAATAAGTAATGTATTCTGGTTATTGACGTTTACTAAACCCATTTCATGTACCATTTAAAAATAGTATGACCTAAGAATACATTTTAATCTGCCCCTTATAAGGGATTATAATTAGTTTCCTAAATTAATTTTGTTGGAAAATATTTACAGTCCCAAAGTTAATACTTGTTTAAAATGAATAGACTGCCACTTAGAGGGAATATGGTCTCTATCATTAACTTGAAATCTGAAATCTCCTACAGCCATGTAGGAATGAAAGCTTTACTTTTCATAAGATAAATTATTTATAACCAAAACTATATTCTTCATCTCTCTGCTGGATGTAGAACAGTATTTTCAGTACTAACTCTATTTTTTACCCTCAGTAACAGACAAGTATTGATAATGTGGAGATTTTACCTGGTTCAGAAAAATATTGCATAAATTAGTTCTCAAGTAGCTTCTCCATCATTATTCATAAGGTAATTCAACTTTTACTATGACTAATCAAGACATATTTAGTTTTAGTAGCCAGTCAGCTACTTGTATACTAAAAAGTTTCTCTTGCATTTTGCATACATGTACACACACATTTATTTTTCCCTTGTATGCTGGTTCACAACAGTACCTTTATCAATTTTGCTGATGAAAGAACAGCTTTATATGGAACAGTAGGGGTTGTCAAGATAACAGAAGCATTATATTCCTGCTCTAGTCGCTGGTTGAAAACTTCCATATGCAGAAGTCCAAGAAATCCCAACCTGGGGGAGAAAAAGCCAAACTCCAAAATATTTATGTCCCATGGGCTCTATTTTCTTTGATAAATATATTGTTACTTTGTAGGGGAGAGGTGGAATTGAAAGTCTTTGAGCATTCACATCATAATTAAATGCTAGCATAATTTCACTGAGAAAGATACAATTCTTCCATTTGGATTCTATTTAAAATCACTATAAAACTTACCCATAAAATATGAATCTATAGTGTGAAACAGACAGACATTAATTGTTTTAGTTCACGTTATACTAATATGAATTTATCTTCAGAAATGTTCAAGAGCAATAAATCATTTAAACTTTATTTTTCAATAAAAATGGGACCCTACTACGCAACTGAATCTTACCTCCAGCCAGCACCTAGGGCAAGGCTACTATCCCGACGAACTGTCACACTGGAATCATTTAAAGTCAGTTTGTCTACAGCACTCTTCAGATTATTATACTCAGATTGATCTACAGGGTACATTCCTGGGGACACAATGATTTCCAATTATCACATGTGAAAAGTTGCCTACAGAACTAAGTTAATATATAATGATGCCCAGTTCAAAATTAATCATCTAGCTTTTAAATTACTTTCCTATATTTCACTGACCAAAATACTGGCTTGCTTAAAAGGCTATGAATATTAAGTTACACTGGCTTCAAAGTATCTTGCAAGTTTCATAGCCTTAATAAATTTAAGTGTGAATCTAGCTTCAGACCCCAAGTGACATTTTTATGCTTTTGCAAAAATACAGAGAAAACAAAAAGAGGCATGGGAATTAGGTCTATTAGGAAAAATACATTGTGTTTAGTTCAAGAAACAAAAGTGCAAGACATTCCACATCCACAAATGAAACTCTATCAGTAGATAAACAACAGTAGAAATGAAAACTACACTGAATTCTTAATTCTCTAGAGCAGATTATCCATTAAAATCAAATATAAATTCTGCTTTTTTCAATTCACTGACAAAAACTAAGAAGTTACTGACTCATCAGATTCTCTTTCTTCTCAAGTCTTCCAAAATCCAAATGAATGACTTTGCCTAAACTGGAGGGTAAACCAAGTTCATAATTCCCAATGAGAGATACTAAAGGGAGAAAAATGAGGACTGGCTGGATACTCAGCACAGAAAAACTGGATGACCTTCAATTAGGTGTTCCTCTTTCAAATGTCTGTAATACCACACAGAAGAAAAAGGCTGTGAAGTTACACACACGTGAGGTGACACTATTCTCTGCCATGTCTACACTAGTACAATATTAAAGAAAGACCAGCAAAGAGGAAGGCACTCAGTAAATGTCCACTGATAACTGGTAATAAAACCATCTTATTTAGAAAACTATTTCAAATATAATGACCTACTCTCTAGGGAAACACGAAGGAAGTGCATATTACTATGCTCTTCTATGTATCAAGGAGCTTGTTTCTTAATAGCTTATTACTTAAATGTCTTAAAAAAATGTAGGAAATGATCTCCCACATAAAATTTCAGCATACTGATATTAAATAGCACACAAAAAAACAAACAGTATTCTGGAATTAGCTCTTATTTAAAATAACTATTTCCAGTAATTTATATTTTAATTTACACAATCAATTGGCCCTCATCCTCTGAATTTGTGAGCTCCTCACCTGCAAATACCATTGGTTTCGCTGATTTAAACCCAGGCAAGGGCTCCACTGGTTGTTTATGTAAATATAATGTGTCTCCTATTTGTGCTTCAGTGACATCTTTCATCCCAGCAATCAGATAGCCCACCTGTCCTGCATATCTAAATAAAATTATCATATGGAAATATTTACTGCTTTAACGTTTCAAGTGCACACTCACAATCAGTTCGACCTTTCCAGGAAATGATCACCCTTTCCAAATAAAACCTCACCAGACTGAAAGTAAGTGCTACATATCAATGCTCAACTCTAAGGACTGTCAGCAGAACATACCATGCTTTACAATCCTTTATCAAGGGCCTCTACAACACAAGCCCAAGGCCTTCTTCATGGCTCTGCCCCTCTTTGCATTTTACACAATAGCTTCTAAAATATAATGTAAACACAGAGAAACTGATAAGTACAGAAACACAAAATACTTCTTGTAATGACTATTTTATTAGTGAATTGTTACAAATGTGCTTTAAAAAAGATAAATTTTTAACCAAGTAGAAAAATGAACTCTCAACAAATCTGACATCTATTTTGATGTTCCTCTTATAGGAAAAGAGCAAATCCCAAGATTTCAGAGTTTTAATTTTTTTAAAGCAAATTTCCTACATTATAACAAACAATTTACATTTAGGATAAGGTACAAGAATCTTAACTGAAGATGCAGTAATGGTCAATATATGATATATGTGGCAGAATAGACAGACTTTACAAATATTTGAGTAAAATTAAAATAAAACAGACTGACTCACAATTAAATAAAAAATGTAATGAGCAAAACAGAGCAAGTTTAAAACATAAAAACAACATTAAACTATCAAGTGTGACTTATATAGTCACCTGGTTCAATATCTCAATTTCTACAGATAAGAAAACAAAAACCTTAATAAGCTCCAGCTATGTACCTACAGGCGATTTATCTCATCAGTACCTGGAGTATTGATGGATTAGGCACACAATAAATACTTGTTTTATAAGTGAACTCAGAACTCAGCTTTTGGAATGCATACTACCTTGCCTACCCCGCATGCCATGAATTTTAGTTACAGTTTTACCACCTTTAGTGTGAATTCCACACTAAAGAATTATCAAATTTTCTTCACTACTTTTATGTTGAAAACTCTAATTATAGAAGAATTAAAGGTCAACATTGATATCCAGTAGGGATATGGATATGAGTGAAGGAACTGTCTCTTTTATTGTCTCATCAAATACATTAAGTATAGGACCCAATCTGCATCAGATCATAAAATTAGTTAGGACTAGTCAAAAGGAATAAAAAAAAATATCAAATTTCTACTGTCCTCTATACATGAGATTCCTTCTGAAAGAGCATTCACTATAGAGGCATTAAATAACCAGGTTATGGGTTTTTTTCGAAGTTGCTAAATTGGCATCATTCTAAGCATACTGACTTGAGAAAGGCAGAGAAACCCATACACGTGTATTTTAACTACTAATGCAGATTACTTACAGTTTATGAGTTTGCTGCTCATTAGGATTCAGGATTCCCACTTCATTAACATCATATGTCTTTTGAGTATGTGCAGATACAACTTTATCTCCTTTGGAAACCACTCCATCAAACAGCGCTACATTGGCTATCACACCCCTATACTGGTCAAAGGTGGAGTCAAATACCAAAGCTCTCAAGGGATTTTTTCGATGCACTTTAGGACTATTAAAAATAAGTAAAAAATATATACACTCAGAACAAATTAAAAAATTAATAAAATGCCTATTTTTTAACTCAAATATTATACTTAACTTACCCTAGCACTTGAGAAAGCTTGGTAACTGACAGCCAAAAGAGGACCTTTCTATAAAATAAGGTATGATGCCTATTTGTATATCAGTTCAAATTCAACCTTGAGTTTTAAATAAATGACCACTATAAAATTACTGATGAAACATGAAATATATTTGTTCAGTATTAAAGCAAAGAACAATAATTGCCAATGCAGTCAAGTCTCTTTCTTACGATGATTTTTAAGAAGAAATCCCCTACCATCTTTGTCTTTTGTTTTTCTCTACTTTATTCACCTTCATTACTAAAAATAAATAAAAAATTTATTCTCACTGACCACAAGTGTATATTTGCCATAGCTACTGAACTAAAATAACAATCAAATTTATGGTCTTTCTACTATTAAAGATAAACAAATAGTATAAAAATAGCAAAATACTTACGGGGGTATTCTTTCGATGACCGCCTGAAGAACACTTTCAACATTTGTTCCAAGTTTAGCAGAAATCTAAAAATATATATGTGAAAAAAATAAACATTTCAAGTTAAGACTCTACTTTTCTGTCCTGGTGACTGAGCTTTATGATCACAAAAAACAAAGAATTCTAACAGTTATCAATTTGTTTGAAGAACATACTAAAGGGAAGCACAAAGCATACAGTATACTGATGGATGTCCAGTTAGGTGATTTTATTGTTCTTGGATTAAATTGGAAAAGCATTCTGCTTATGGTATTGAAAGTACACAGCTCTAAATATCTGGGTAACAATCGTGACTCTGCATGGAGTGTATGACTTTGACCAATAAATATTTTTTTGAGCTTCAAGTTCCTCATCTTATAAATGAAGTGATTATTCATACCGTGCCTAAATCTTAAGGTTGCTGTGTGGAGAAAATAAACAATATAATGGATGGCATACAGGTAACTATAAGGCATGTTATGACTATTGTTCTCAGTGAAAAAGCAAGCCAAAGGATTGAAAACACATGTGCATGACTGACCTTTGTCATCACCAATAATCGGACTGTCTCTGAAATCCTGATTTCAAAACCCATTCCCTGAATACTGGCTCTTACCCTTCAAACTCCTTCTGGATCAGTTTCTCAGCTCAGCACTAATGACATTTTGGGCTGGAGAATTCTTTGTGTGAGGGGCTGCTGTGTGCATTGTAGGATGTGTAACAGCATCCATGGAATCTCATCTACCCACAAGACGCCAGTAGCACCCAACCCCAATTTGTGACAACAAAAAATGTCTCCAGACATTGCCAAATGTTTCCTGTGAGGCAAAACTACCCCCTAATGAGAACCAATGCTCTAGATTCTAGACTTCTTTGCAACAATCCTTTAAGATCACTACCTCTAATCCACTGAACGTACTACTTTTTGTCACTATCAATTAGACTCCTGCCTCCTCCTTTTCATCCTCTCATAGATGAGACTCCAAGGTCCACTATACGGCATTCCTCTGTTCAATTACTTTCTGTTCTCTCCCTATCATAAGCAACTGGTACAACTTCAAGTGTGACTGCATCCAACTATGTCCTTTTTCTATGCCTGTAATCAGAGCAGCTTAACATTACAGGAGAAAAGTCAAGTTACTCGTCTGCTTAGTTTCTTGTGAATTCATGACCACAGATCTCAATGGACAATTAACACTTCCTGGCAGTCCCAGAACACATCCCCTAGTAAATTCACATTACCACTCGGTAAGATATTTCACATCACTTTCTTTTTCAATTCCCACATTTTCCCCTCTGGCCAATTCACTCTCAGTTGATGACTTTGCCTCTGAAGGAAACAGAAGACATCAACCACTGCCTTAACCAAATATCAGATATATCTGCACTTATACCCACAACCTCTTTGCCTTCTCTCTTGTTACCATCTGAGAATTATTCCCACTTTGAAAATTCAATCCTTCCATGCTTCTATCCCGAATCGTATTCCCTCTAATCCTTCTCAAGTTCTTACTCGTAACATCCAAAAAACTGACAACAATATAGTGTGACTTCTAGGACCTCTTTTTTACCTACACTTTCTCCCTAGGAAACCCCTTCCACTTCCCTGGCCTCAATACCACATATAGAGACTCCTAAATAGCTATCTCTGACTCAGCCCTCTCCATGAATGTCTGAATTGTAGATTTATCCAATATCCAGACTTTGGATGTCTAATAGACACTGCAAACCCACTATGTCCAAAACAGAGCTTTTTATTTTCCTCCCATATCTGTTGCTCCCCAAGTCCTCTCCATATTATCAACCAGTTGCTCAAACCCAAAGCCTCCTTGATTCTTCCCTTTATTTCACTTTCTTACATGTAACCAACAAGGAAATGTATTGTTATCTACAAAATATACAGCAAATTTGCCCACTTCTCCAACCTCACCATGACATTCTCGGCCACCACCATTTTGTACCTGGGCTATCACTGCAAGCTGGTTTCCCTGTATCCCTTCTTATCCTTTTCTAATTCATTCTCTATAACAGAACCTGAATGATCAGTTTATGTTCCTCTCTTCATTTAAAACTCTCGTTATTTTAGAATAATTTTCAAACTCTTTAGCACAGCAAGAGTCCCAGCATGCCTTCATTCCTGCCTACCCCACAAAGCCACCTCATCTAATTTGCCTCTCTGTCTCTTGAACATGCCAAACATGCCAAGCCTTTACATTTGCTCTTTCCTCTTCCTGGAATGCGTTTCTCCCAACTCTTCATTCTCTCAGGTCTCAGTTCATCAAAGAGGACTTCCCTAAGTTACTCTACATCACAGCATCTCTCTGAGAAAAAAGAGTTTTTCTTTGTTAAGTATGGTATTCCACCTAGAACAATACAATTTATTGAATGAATTTCCTTGACAATATCTGTCTCATTCAATAATTACTATGCTGACTTTTTTCTTTGCTTATTTAATGACCACCTCTCCAAGTAGAATATAAACACAATGAGAAGGGGTCTTGCCTGTCCTGTTCACTGCTGTGCCCCTAGCTGGCACATATCACGTAAGTATCTGAAAAATTTTCTAAAGACTTATTAAAATCAGAATAATTATACTTCAACACAACACAATCTAAGTTATGAAACAGTAATTTCAGAAATGCCTTATGAAATGATGTCCCTCTTCATAATAATAACCATTAAATTCTATGTATATATCCAAGAAAGAAAACTATCGCTTTTTCAGTTATTACCAAATTGCATGCAATCGTCCACGGTGCTGAGGGCAAACAGACGAAAAGCAGTTCTTCACCTGAAACTTGCTTTTTCAAAAATCAACCGAGATTGAAAGCAGAAACTAAACTTTACATAGTTGTGGTGACATACGATACAAGCACGCAGCACAGTCTGGCTGTGACTACTTAACACCTAAACTATCTTTAAAAGGTAAATAAAAAACTCAAATTTAAAATAGAATCGACTCTGATATTAAAAAAAAGAAAGCTATTGTTTTCTAAGATTATTACTATAGCTGGCTCTTTTATTAAAAAGCTTTGTCGGGGCTGGCCCCGTGGCTGAGTGGTTAAAGTTCCACACCCTCTGCTGTGGCAGCCCAGGGTTCACAGGTTCCAATCCCAGGCACGGACCTACTCCACTCAATACGGAAAGTAGAGGAAGACTGGCCCAGATGTTAGCTCAAAGCTAATTGTCCTCAAGCAGAAAAAGAGGAAGATTGGCGATGGATGTTACCTCAGGGCGAATCTTCCTCACCAGGAAAAAAACAAAAAAAAAAAACATAACATAAAAGCTCTTTGTCAATTCCAAGAATGATGCATACAAATGCCTTAAAATCAGTTTCAACCTGCTCTTCAAGAATATTTTCATAGAAGCAAAATAGAATAAAAGAAATAATACTGCAATTAGTTTCAGAAAGCCTATGTTTGAGTCCTGGCACATTAGCTAACTACATCTGTAATCATAAGAACATGATAACATCTTTGAGCATTCCTTGTCTCAACTGTATCAGAAGAAAAATTCCCATCTGTTCTAACTATATAAAAAGGATTTTTGGTGAGGAGCAAATGAAATATTAGTAAAAAGAATTTTTAAAACTATAAAAATAATATATAATAATAAGCTATCAAATAGTATGAAATTGCAAATAGACAGACTAACAGATTTTTAAAAGTATAACTGAGTCTTCAAAATAAAGTTATTTACCTTAATACATTCATCACTTGGAATATCAAACACCTTTTCAATTTGTTTTCCAACCCTTTCAGGATCAGCATTCTTCAGATCTATCTTAAAAAAAAATTTCATTATGTCTTAATATAAAATATAGACTGTAGTACGTATTAATAGTATATAGAGATAGTTGAAAGCATACCAGCTTTTAACGTGACCCCTTATGATTTTCTTCCCAAAGTATTAAAATAATCTGCATATGGGCAATACAATTTTAGTAAGCATGGCCACTGAAAAATAGAGGGTAGAAAGCAGAGCACGCAAAAAATTTAGACAGTTAGCTACTCAACGCAGTAGAAGAGTTCAGTAACAGTTTATCAATTAACACCAAGTAAACTGATTTTATAAATTAGATATAACTTATAACAACAAACTGACTTACCTAAGGGCAACCTGGCTTCTTTTAAACTTAAACTCCAATATCAAAAGTATCATTGAATGCAACACAGACTTTTAAATTAAGATTCTTAATTCATTAATTTTAATATATAAAAGTTGAAATTTATCAAACAGTGCTCAGTTTAGCATTTAACTGTTGTTTTATTGTTTCCTCTTAGATCATATGCTCCTTTTCTTTTCATAGACATAGTTATACAGTTTAGCATAACAGACATTTTGGCCACCATACATCCTTTTCCTAGAGAAAGAGTCCTCCATCACTCCATGTAATTCAAGGAGACGATCTTCTCAACGACATGAAAGGGAACAGGAGTTTGAGTTGCAATTCTATCACAGGCAACTCAAAGAAATAAATTCTACCAATATATTTAATAAATAGTTGAAGATCCCTCATATAAAAAATAGTACCCTTGATGGGGCTGGCCTGGCGGCGTAGTGGTTAAATTCACGTGCTCCGCTTCAGCGGCCCGGGGTTCACCAGTTCTGATTCTGGGTGTAGACCTACATATAGCTCATCAAGCCGTGCTGTGGCAGCAGCCCACACACAAAAATAGAGGAAGATTGGCACAGACGTCAGCTCAGGGCCAATCTTCTTCACCCCCTGCCCCCGAAAAAAGTACGCTTGATATCCAAACACTAAATATACTTTTAGAAAATAAAATTACAGCATTGCTTTCTCATTGTAATTACCTTGTTTATAACTGGAATTACTGACAGCTGTGCTTCAAAGGCAAGAAAGAAGTTTGCTACAGTTTGGGCTTGAATACCCTGGAAATATCAAGACACAAGATACTGAGATAATCATTCCAGTCTATCACAAAACTTGTACAGTCGTCCCTCAGTATCTGCTGATTGGTTCCTGGACCACCCCCACCCCCCCCCACCTGCCCCCCAGGGATACTAAAATCTGAGAATGCCCAAGTCCTTTGGTATCTGCCAAAGGAATTTGTATATAACCTATGCACATCCTCCCATATGCTTTAAATCATCTCTAAATCACTTATAACACCTAACACAATGTAAACACCATGAAAATAGTTGTTATACTGTATCGTTTAGGGAATAATGACTAGAAAAGAAAGTCTGTAGATGTACAGTACATGCACAACCATCATAGGCCTTTCAATCCAAGGTTGGTTGAATTCTTGGAAGCGTAACTCCAAATGTAACTCAAAAACATTCCACACATCTTCAACAAAAGCAGAGGTATAAAGCAAACTACGGTGTCTATACTTCCATGCATCTGGATCATTTCCTGTGAAAATTTCTTTCAGTTGAGGAAGCATTAATTTGAAGAGGACTATGTTAGGCTTTGAAGACACAAAAGTGAAACATGAACTCTTAAGATCATCAAAGCCTACTAGAGGACAGAGTCACATGATGCAGTTTATAAAGCCCACTACCATGTATATAAGGTAGAGACTGACCTTCCCTGATAGGATCAGGGAAAGTTTAACACAATAAAAAAAAAACACCTTTGGGTTTTGAATGAAGAGTTTGTGAGAAACTGAAATAAATCAAAAGTTTACTTTAAATACTGTATCATAGCTCTTATATGGTCATCTGCTGAATATGTTTTTATGATTATGTTTATGCCACAAAAGAACCTCATACTATTATCTACATAGTTCTTTAAACCTAACACTTCCCAAACTATTACCTTAAAATCACCCCAAATGACCTGAAAACTAAAGATCTGGGGCCGGCCCCGTGGGTTAAGTTCGCGCACTCCAGTTCGGGGGCCCAGGGTTTCACCGGTTCAGAACCTGGGCACGGACATGGCACCGCTCAACAAGCCATGCTGAGGCAGCATCCCACATGCCACAACTAGAAGGACCCACAACTAAAATATGCAACTATGTACCGGGGGGCTTTGGGGAGAAAAAGGAAAAATAAAATCTTTTTTAAAAAAAACACACACTAAAGATTTATTTTCAAGTTCTGCTGAAAATTGATATGAGAACTGCTGATTAAGAACTGCTAAAAATTGAGTTTTCTGGTAGGATGTATGAATGACATTGTACTTCAGTAAAAACTACAACAATCTCTTGAACAAGTCCTCTGATCAGCTTAAAAATTTTAAAAGATGAACTAGTCAATTTCACAGAATGCTTTAGTGTAATAAAACTTCAAATTTTATTTGAAAAAAGTATATGATTTTGGTTAAGTAATACATAAATCCTATTTTTTCCAAACAGAAAAATTCTGCTTCTAAAACACATTTTAAAGAAAACATCTTGAAACAACAGAAGAGTCAATCATATAAAATGAAAAGTACCTACCTCATTTGCATCAACCACAAGTAAAACACCCTGGCAAGCAGAGAGTGACCTGGATACTTCATAACTGAAATCAACATGGCCCTGAAAAACAAAAAATATTGATACCTCTAAATGTCAGCAACAAATTTTCTAGGGAGGGGCATTATGGCAAATCTACTGATTCCACCTGATAAAAAATCAGTAGCTTTCTTTTTTTAGCCTGCGCTTGTGAATCAACTTACACTAACATAAGGGAACTGAGAAAACAAAAAGCAAAGTTAAGTGTTTAATGTTCAGTTCAAAAACTAAATAAGAATTTGTCTGTACTATTAGTACAAGGCTGACTTTAACAACAGACACAAAATTAATATTAAACTTACCGGTGTATCAATGAGATTTAAAAGGTACTGCTTTCCTTCATGATTATAGAAGAGAGACGCTGTCTGTGCTTTAACAGTGATTCCTCTTTCTCGTTCCACTTGCAATTTATCAAGAACTTGCTTATTATTCTTTGTTTTATCAATTGTCCCTATAAACGGAAACACGTGATATTTCTATGCGCTTTTAGAAAGAGACAATACTGCACATAAAATTAAAATCAAAATTTTAACAAGCATGGTAAAAGTAATTACCAGTTACTCATTGCCATTAAATATATAATATAAAACGAAAATACCTGTTAGTTCCAGGAGCCTGTCAGCTAAAGTACTTTTGCCATGATCCACATGTGCAATGATACTGAAATTTCTAATATTTTCAACAGGGAATCTAGACATGTCAATTTTTTCCTAGAAAGGGAGGAGATAATTTCACTGAGAAAGATACAATTCTTCCATTTGATTCTATTTAAAATCACTATAAAACTTACCCATAAAATATGAATCTATAGTGTGAAACAGACAGACATTAATTGTTTTAGTTCACGTTATACTAATATGAATTTATCTTCAGAAATGTTCAAGAGCAATAAATCATTTAAACTTTATTTTTCAATAAAAATGGGACCCTACTACGCAACTGAATCTTACCTCCAGCCAGCACCTAGGGCAAGGCTACTATCCCGACGAACTGTCACACTGGAATCATTTAAAGTCAGTTTGTCTACAGCACTCTTCAGATTATTATACTCAGATTGATCTACAGGGTACATTCCTGGGGACACAATGATTTCCAATTATCACATGTGAAAAGTTGCCTACAGAACTAAGTTAATATATAATGATGCCCAGTTCAAAATTAATCATCTAGCTTTTAAATTACTTTCCTATATTTCACTGACCAAAATACTGGCTTGCTTAAAAGGCTATGAATATTAAGTTACACTGGCTTCAAAGTATCTTGCAAGTTTCATAGCCTTAATAAATTTAAGTGTGAATCTAGCTTCAGACCCCAAGTGACATTTTTATGCTTTTGCAAAAATACAGAGAAAACAAAAAAGAGGCATGGGAATTAGGTCTATTAGGAAAAATACATTGTGTTTAGTTCAAGAAACAAAAGTGCAAGACATTCCACATCCACAAATGAAACTCTATCAGTAGATAAACAACAGTAGAAATGAAAACTACACTGAATTCTTAATTCTCTAGAGCAGATTATCCATTAAAATCAAATATAAATTCTGCTTTTTTCAATTCACTGACAAAAACTAAGAAGTTACTGACTCATCAGATTCTCTTTCTTCTCAAGTCTTCCAAAATCCAAATGAATGACTTTGCCTAAACTGGAGGGTAAACCAAGTTCATAATTCCCAATGAGAGATACTAAAGGGAGAAAAATGAGGACTGGCTGGATACTCAGCACAGAAAAACTGGATGACCTTCAATTAGGTGTTCCTCTTTCAAATGTCTGTAATACCACACAGAAGAAAAAGGCTGTGAAGTTACACACACGTGAGGTGACACTATTCTCTGCCATGTCTACACTAGTACAATATTAAAGAAAGACCAGCAAAGAGGAAGGCACTCAGTAAATGTCCACTGATAACTGGTAATAAAACCATCTTATTTAGAAAACTATTTCAAATATAATGACCTACTCTCTAGGGAAACACGAAGGAAGTGCATATTACTATGCTCTTCTATGTATCAAGGAGCTTGTTTCTTAATAGCTTATTACTTAAATGTCTTAAAAAAATGTAGGAAATGATCTCCACATAAAATTTCAGCATACTGATATTAAATAGCACACAAAAAACAAACAGTATTCTGGAATTAGCTCTTATTTAAAATAACTATTTCCAGTAATTTATATTTTAATTTACACAATCAATTGGCCCTCATCCTCTGAATTTGTGAGCTCCTCACCTGCAAATACCATTGGTTTCGCTGATTTAAACCCAGGCAAGGGCTCCACTGGTTGTTTATGTAAATATAATGTGTCTCCTATTTGTGCTTCAGTGACATCTTTCATCCCAGCAATCAGATAGCCCACCTGTCCTGCATATCTAAATAAAATTATCATATGGAAATATTTACTGCTTTAACGTTTCAAGTGCACACTCACAATCAGTTCGACCTTTCCAGGAAATGATCACCCTTTCCAAATAAAACCTCACCAGACTGAAAGTAAGTGCTACATATCAATGCTCAACTCTAAGGACTGTCAGCAGAACATACCATGCTTTACAATCCTTTATCAAGGGCCTCTACAACACAAGCCCAAGGCCTTCTTCATGGCTCTGCCCCCTTTGCATTTTACACAATAGCTTCTAAAATATAATGTAAACACAGAGAAACTGATAAGTACAGAAACACAAAATACTTCTTGTAATGACTATTTTATTAGTGAATTGTTACAAATGTGCTTTAAAAAAGATAAATTTTTAACCAAGTAGAAAAATGAACTCTCAACAAATCTGACATCTATTTTGATGTTCCTCTTATAGGAAAAGAGCAAATCCCAAGATTTCAGAGTTTTAATTTTTTTAAAGCAAATTTCCTACATTATAACAAAAATTTACATTTAGGATAAGGTACAAGAATCTTAACTGAAGATGCAGTAATGGTCAATATATGATATATGTGGCAGAATAGACAGACTTTACAAATATTTGAGTAAAATTAAAATAAAACAGACTGACTCACAATTAAATAAAAAATGTAATGAGCAAAACAGAGCAAGTTTAAAACATAAAAACAACATTAAACTATCAAGTGTGACTTATATAGTCACCTGGTTCAATATCTCAATTTCTACAGATAAGAAAACAAAAACCTTAATAAGCTCCAGCTATGTACCTACAGGCGATTTATCTCATCAGTACCTGGAGTATTGATGGATTAGGCACACAATAAATACTTGTTTTATAAGTGAACTCAGAACTCAGCTTTTGGAATGCATACTACCTTGCCTACCCCGCATGCCATGAATTTTAGTTACAGTTTTACCACCTTTAGTGTGAATTCCACACTAAAGAATTATCAAATTTTCTTCACTACTTTTATGTTGAAAACTCTAATTATAGAAGAATTAAAGGTCAACATTGATATCCAGTAGGGATATGGATATGAGTGAAGGAACTGTCTCTTTTATTGTCTCATCAAATACATTAAGTATAGGACCCAATCTGCATCAGATCATAAAATTAGTTAGGACTAGTCAAAAGGAATAAAAAAAAATATCAAATTTCTACTGTCCTCTATACATGAGATTCCTTCTGAAAGAGCATTCACTATAGAGGCATTAAATAACCAGGTTATGGGTTTTTTTCGAAGTTGCTAAATTGGCATCATTCTAAGCATACTGACTTGAGAAAGGCAGAGAAACCCATACAAGTGTATTTTAACTACTAATGCAGATTACTTACAGTTTATGAGTTTGCTGCTCATTAGGATTCAGGATTCCCACTTCATTAACATCATATGTCTTTTGAGTATGTGCAGATACAACTTTATCTCCTTTGGAAACCACTCCATCAAACAGCGCTACATTGGCTATCACACCCCTATACTGGTCAAAGGTGGAGTCAAATACCAAAGCTCTCAAGGGATTTTTTCGATGCACTTTAGGACTATTAAAAATAAGTAAAAAATATATACACTCAGAACAAATTAAAAAATTAATAAAATGCCTATTTTTTAACTCAAATATTATACTTAACTTACCCTAGCACTTGAGAAAGCTTGGTAACTGACAGCCAAAAGAGGACCTTTCTATAAAATAAGGTATGATGCCTATTTGTATATCAGTTCAAATTCAACCTTGAGTTTTAAATAAATGACCACTATAAAATTACTGATGAAACATGAAATATATTTGTTCAGTATTAAAGCAAAGAACAATAATTGCCAATGCAGTCAAGTCTCTTTCTTACGATGATTTTTAAGAAGAAATCCCCTACCATCTTTGTCTTTTGTTTTTCTCTACTTTATTCACCTTCATTACTAAAAATAAATAAAAAATTTATTCTCACTGACCACAAGTGTATATTTGCCATAGCTACTGAACTAAAATAACAATCAAATTTATGGTCTTTCTACTATTAAAGATAAACAAATAGTATAAAAATAGCAAAATACTTACGGGGGTATTCTTTCGATGACCGCCTGAAGAACACTTTCAACATTTGTTCCAAGTTTAGCAGAAATCTAAAAATATATATGTGAAAAAAATAAACATTTCAAGTTAAGACTCTACTTTTCTGTCCTGGTGACTGAGCTTTATGATCACAAAAAAAAAGAATTCTAACAGTTATCAATTTGTTTGAAGAACATACTAAAGGGAAGCACAAAGCATACAGTATACTGATGGATGTCCAGTTAGGTGATTTTATTGTTCTTGGATTAAATTGGAAAAGCATTCTGCTTATGGTATTGAAAGTACACAGCTCTAAATATCTGGGTAACAATCGTGACTCTGCATGGAGTGTATGACTTTGACCAATAAATATTTTTTTGAGCTTCAAGTTCCTCATCTTATAAATGAAGTGATTATTCATACCGTGCCTAAATCTTAAGGTTGCTGTGTGGAGAAAATAAACAATATAATGGATGGCATACAGGTAACTATAAGGCATGTTATGACTATTGTTCTCAGTGAAAAAGCAAGCCAAAGGATTGAAAACACATGTGCATGACTGACCTTTGTCATCACCAATAATCGGACTGTCTCTGAAATCCTGATTTCAAAACCCATTCCCTGAATACTGGCTCTTACCCTTCAAACTCCTTCTGGATCAGTTTCTCAGCTCAGCACTAATGACATTTTGGGCTGGAGAATTCTTTGTGTGAGGGGCTGCTGTGTGCATTGTAGGATGTGTAACAGCATCCATGGAATCTCATCTACCCACAAGACGCCAGTAGCACCCAACCCCAATTTGTGACAACAAAAAATGTCTCCAGACATTGCCAAATGTTTCCTGTGAGGCAAAACTACCCCCTAATGAGAACCAATGCTCTAGATTCTAGACTTCTTTGCAACAATCCTTTAAGATCACTACCTCTAATCCACTGAACGTACTACTTTTTGTCACTATCAATTAGACTCCTGCCTCCTCCTTTTCATCCTCTCATAGATGAGACTCCAAGGTCCACTATACGGCATTCCTCTGTTCAATTACTTTCTGTTCTCTCCCTATCATAAGCAACTGGTACAACTTCAAGTGTGACTGCATCCAACTATGTCCTTTTTCTATGCCTGTAATCAGAGCAGCTTAACATTACAGGAGAAAAGTCAAGTTACTCGTCTGCTTAGTTTCTTGTGAATTCATGACCACAGATCTCAATGGACAATTAACACTTCCTGGCAGTCCCAGAACACATCCCCTAGTAAATTCACATTACCACTCGGTAAGATATTTCACATCACTTTCTTTTTCAATTCCCACATTTTCCCCTCTGGCCAATTCACTCTCAGTTGATGACTTTGCCTCTGAAGGAAACAGAAGACATCAACCACTGCCTTAACCAAATATCAGATATATCTGCACTTATACCCACAACCTCTTTGCCTTCTCTCTTGTTACCATCGAGAATTATTCCCACTTTGAAAATTCAATCCTTCCATGCTTCTATCCCGAACGTATTCCCTCTAATCCTTCTCAAGTTCTTACTCGTAACATCCAAAAAACTGACAACAATATAGTGTGACTTCTAGGACCTCTTTTTACCTACACTTTCTCCTAGGAAACCCCTTCCACTTCCCTGGCCTCAATACCACATATAGAGACTCCTAAATAGCTATCTCTGACTCAGCCCTCTCCATGAATGTCTGAATTGTAGATTTATCCAATATCCAGACTTTGGATGTCTAATAGACACTGCAAACCCACTATGTCCAAAACAGAGCTTTTTATTTTCCTCCCATATCTGTTGCTCCCCAAGTCCTCTCCATATTATCAACCAGTTGCTCAAACCCAAAGCCTCCTTGATTCTTCCCTTTATTTCACTTTCTTACATGTAACCAACAAGGAAATGTATTGTTATCTACAAAATATACAGCAAATTTGCCCACTTCTCCAACCTCACCATGACATTCTCGCCACCACCATTTTGTACCTGGGCTATCACTGCAAGCTGGTTTCCCTGTATCCCTTCTTATCCTTTTCTAATTCATTTCTATAACAGAACCTGAATGATCAGTTTATGTTCCTCTCTTCATTTAAAACTCTCGTTATTTTAGAATAATTTTCAAACTCTTTAGCACAGCAAGAGTCCCAGCATGCCTTCATTCCTGCCTACCCCACAAAGCCACCTCATCTAATTTGCCTCTCTGTTCTTGAACATGCCAAACATGCCAAGCCTTTACATTTGCTCTTTCCTCTTCCTGGAATGCGTTTCTCCCAACTCTTCATTCTCTCAGGTCTCAGTTCATCAAAGAGGACTTCCCTAAGTTACTCTACATCACAGCATCTCTCTGAGAAAAAAGAGTTTTTCTTTGTTAAGTATGGTATTCCACCTAGAACAATACAATTTATTGAATGAATTTCCTTGACAATATCTGTCTCATTCAATAATTACTATGCTGACTTTTTTCTTTGCTTATTTAATGACCACCTCTCCAAGTAGAATATAAACACAATGAGAAGGGGTCTTGCCTGTCCTGTTCACTGCTGTGCCCCTAGCTGGCACATATCACGTAAGTATCTGAAAAATTTTCTAAAGACTTATTAAAATCAGAATAATTATACTTCAACACAACACAATCTAAGTTATGAAACAGTAATTTCAGAAATGCCTTATGAAATGATGTCCCTCTTCATAATAATAACCATTAAATTCTATGTATATATCCAAGAAAGAAAACTATCGCTTTTTCAGTTATTACCAAATTGCATGCAATCGTCCACGGTGCTGAGGGCAAACAGACGAAAAGCAGTTCTTCACCTGAAACTTGCTTTTTCAAAAATCAACCGAGATTGAAAGCAGAAACTAAACTACATAGTTGTGGTGACATACGATACAAGCACGCAGCACAGTCTGGCTGTGACTACTTAACACCTAAACTATCTTTAAAAGGTAAATAAAAAACTCAAATTTAAAATAGAATCGACTCTGATATTAAAAAAAAGAAAGCTATTGTTTTCTAAGATTATTACTATAGCTGGCTCTTTTATTAAAAAGCTTTGTCGGGGCTGGCCCCGTGGCTGAGTGGTTAAAGTTCCACACCCTCTGCTGTGGCAGCCCAGGGTTCACAGGTTCCAATCCCAGGCACGGACCTACTCCACTCAATACGGAAAGTAGAGGAAGACTGGCCCAGATGTTAGCTCAAAGCTAATTGTCCTCAAGCAGAAAAAGAGGAAGATTGGCGATGGATGTTACCTCAGGGCGAATCTTCCTCACCAGGAAAAAAACAAAAAAAAAAAACATAACATAAAAGCTCTTTGTCAATTCCAAGAATGATGCATACAAATGCCTTAAAATCAGTTTCAACCTGCTCTTCAAGAATATTTTCATAGAAGCAAAATAGAATAAAAGAAATAATACTGCAATTAGTTTCAGAAAGCCTATGTTTGAGTCCTGGCACATTAGCTAACTACATCTGTAATCATAAGAACATGATAACATCTTTGAGCATTCCTTGTCTCAACTGTATCAGAAGAAAAATTCCCATCTGTTCTAACTATATAAAAAGGATTTTTGGTGAGGAGCAAATGAAATATTAGTAAAAAGAATTTTTAAAACTATAAAATAATATATAATAATAAGCTATCAAATAGTATGAAATTGCAAATAGACAGACTAACAGATTTTTAAAAGTATAACTGAGTCTTCAAAATAAAGTTATTTACCTTAATACATTCATCACTTGGAATATCAAACACCTTTTCAATTTGTTTTCCAACCCTTTCAGGATCAGCATTCTTCAGATCTATCTTAAAAAAAAATTTCATTATGTCTTAATATAAAATATAGACTGTAGTACGTATTAATAGTATATAGAGATAGTTGAAAGCATACCAGCTTTTAACGTGACCCCTTATGATTTTTTTCCCAAAGTATTAAAATAATCTGCATATGGGCAATACAATTTAGTAAGCATGGCCACTGAAAAATAGAGGGTAGAAAGCAGAGCACGCAAAAAATTTAGACAGTTAGCTACTCAACGCAGTAGAAGAGCTCAGTAACAGTTTATCAATTAACACCAAGTAAACTGATTTTATAAATTAGATATAACTTATAACAACAAACTGACTTACCTAAGGGCAACCTGGCTTCTTTTAAACTTAAACTCCAATATCAAAAGTATCATTGAATGCAACACAGACTTTTAAATTAAGATTCTTAATTCATTAATTTTAATATATAAAAGTTGAAATTTATCAAACAGTGCTCAGTTTAGCATTTAACTGTTGTTTTATTGTTTCCTCTTAGATCATATGCTCCTTTTCTTTTCATAGACATAGTTATACAGTTTAGCATAACAGACATTTTGGCCACCATACATCCTTTTCCTAGAGAAAGAGTCCTCCATCACTCCATGTAATTCAAGGAGACGATCTTCTCAACGACATGAAAGGGAACAGGAGTTTGAGTTGCAATTCTATCACAGGCAACTCAAAGAAATAAATTCTACCAATATATTTAATAAATAGTTGAAGATCCCTCATATAAAAAATAGTACCCTTGATGGGGCTGGCCTGGCGGCGTAGTGGTTAAATTCACGTGCTCCGCTTCAGCGGCCGGGGTTCACACAGTTCTGATTCTGGGTGTAGACCTACATATAGCTCATCAAGCCGTGCTGTGGCAGCAGCCCACACACAAAAATAGAGGAAGATTGGCACAGACGTCAGCTCAGGGCCAATCTTCTTCCACCCCTCGCCCCGAAAAAAGTACGCTTGATATCCAAACACTAAATATACTTTTAGAAAATAAAATTACAGCATTGCTTTCTCATTGTAATTACCTTGTTTATAACTGGAATTACTGACAGCTGTGCTTCAAAGGCAAGAAAGAAGTTTGCTACAGTTTGGGCTTGAATACCCTGGAAATATCAAGACACAAGATACTGAGATAATCATTCCAGTCTATCACAAAACTTGTACAGTCGTCCCTCAGTATCTGCTGATTGGTTCCTGGACCACCCCCCCCCCCCACCTCCCCCCCAGGGATACTAAAATCTGAGAATGCCCAAGTCCTTTGGTATCTGCCAAAGGAATTTGTATATAACCTATGCACATCCTCCCATATGCTTTAAATCATCTCTAATCACTTATAACACCTAACACAATGTAAACACCATGAAAATAGTTGTTATACTGTATCATTTAGGGAATAATGACTAGAAAAGAAAGTCTGTAGATGTTCAGTACATGCACAACCATCATAGGCCTTTCAATCCAAGGTTGGTTGAATTCTTGGAAGCGTAACCCCAAATGTAACTCAAAAACATTCCACACATCTTCAACAAAAGCAGAGGTATAAAGCAAACTACGGTGTCTATACTTCCATGCATCTGGATCATTTCCTGTGAAAATTTCTTTCAGTTGAGGAAGCATTAATTTGAAGAGGACTATGTTAGGCTTTGAAGACACAAAAGTGAAACATGAACTCTTAAGATCATCAAAGCCTACTAGAGGACAGAGTCACATGATGCAGTTTATAAAGCCCACTACCATGTATATAAGGTAGAGACTGACCTTCCCTGATAGGATCAGGGAAAGTTTAACACAATAAAAAAAAACACCTTTGGGTTTTGAATGAAGAGTTTGTGAGAAACTGAAATAAATGAAAAGTTTACTTTAAATACTGTATCATAGCTCTTATATGGTCATCTGCTGAATATGTTTTTATGATTATGTTTATGCCACAAAAGAACCTCATACTATTATCTACATAGTTCTTTAAACCTAACACTTCCCAAACTATTACCTTAAAATCACCCCAAATGACCTGAAAACTAAAGATCTGGGGCCGGCCCCGTGGGTTAAGTTCGCGCACTCCAGTTCGGGGGCCCAGGGTTTCACTGGTTCAGAACCTGGGCACGGACATGGCACCGCTCAACAAGCCATGGTGAGGCAGCATCCCACATGCCACAACTAGAAGGACCCACAACTAAAATATGCAACTATGTACCGGGGGGCTTTGGGGAGAAAAAGGAAAAATAAAATCTTTTTTAAAAAAAAACACACACTAAAGATTTATTTTCAAGTTCTGCTGAAAATTGATATGAGAACTGCTGATTAAGAACTGCTAAAAATTGAGTTTTCTGGTAGGATGTATGAATGACATTGTACTTCAGTAAAAACTACAACAATCTCTTGAACAAGTCCTCTGATCAGCTTAAAAATTTTAAAAGATGAACTAGTCAATTTCACAGAATGCTTTAGTGTAATAAAACTTCAAATTTTATTTGAAAAAAGTATATGATTTTGGTTAAGTAATACATAAATCCTATTTTTTCCAAACAGAAAAATTCTGCTTCTAAAACACATTTTAAAGAAAACATCTTGAAACAACAGAAGAGTCAATCATATAAAATGAAAAGTACCTACCTCATTTGCATCAACCACAAGTAAAACACCCTGGCAAGCAGAGAGTGACCTGGATACTTCATAACTGAAATCAACATGGCCTGAAAAACAAAAAATATTGATACCTCTAAATGTCAGCAACAAATTTTCTAGGGAGGGGCATTATGGCAAATCTACTGATTCCACCTGATAAAAAATCAGTAGCTTTCTTTTTTTAGCCTGCGCTTGTGAATCAACTTACACTAACATAAGGGAACTGAGAAAACAAAAAGCAAAGTTAAGTGTTTAATGTTCAGTTCAAAAACTAAATAAGAATTTGTCTGTACTATTAGTACAAGGCTGACTTTAACAACAGACACAAAATTAATATTAAACTTACCGGTGTATCAATGAGATTTAAAAGGTACTGCTTTCCTTCATGATTATAGAAGAGAGACGCTGTTTGTGCTTTAACAGTGATTCCTCTTTCTCGTTCCACTTGCAATTTATCAAGAACTTGCTTATTATTCTTTGTTTTATCAATTGTCCCTATAAATGGAAACACGTGATATTTCTATGCGCTTTTAGAAAGAGACAATACTGCACATAAAATTAAAATCAAAATTTTAACAAGCATGGTAAAAGTAATTACCAGTTACTCATTGCCATTAAATATATAATATAAAACGAAAATACCTGTTAGTTCCAGGAGCCTGTCAGCTAAAGTACTTTTGCCATGATCCACATGTGCAATGATACTGAAATTTCTAATATTTTCAACAGGGAATCTAGACATGTCAATTTTTTCCTAGAAAGGGAGGAGAAATATTACATTTGAGTATACATTTTGTACAATATGAAACAAGTATACTAATTCAAAGAATATTCTTTTAGCCTTCTCTAGACAATTTCATTTATAGAATTTACATTGTTTATATTATTCCATTATTCCTCTAACAATAAAGAGATGTATGGCTAATCTCATATTACAAGCAATGGATTACAAGAGGACTCACCAAATACATTAGTTTCATTGTCAAAGGGGAGGATACAGCTAAGTAAAAGTTCCTTATAATATTTCCACCACTTAGAGGACCAATGTGGAACTGAGTTTATTTTCATGAACGGAGAACACAAGATACCTAAAATTCCTGAACAGCCTTAGAGGAGCTGGTCTAACACAACCTCTTCAGGCTGAAAGAAAAAAAGGAAACTCTCTGCCCTTATCATATATTTAATCACCAGAGTCAGATCTATTTAAAACTCTGTGCTCCTAATAGAGTCTACAAATTTAATCTAAATACAATTTTGTTACTTGGCACTTCTCTGGAGAGAGAGAAAAACATCACATCACCAGAAAAAGGCTATTTATCACTTAAAACTCAAAAATATTTTAAAACGAAACTCCTGATTTTTACTGTATACAACTTCTTCAATGTTTTACTGAGACTCATCACAAACAGCTAAAAATTGGTCTTGAAGTAAAATATGTCAGTTTCTTGTATTTTATTTTCCCAATCAAATCTGTATTTCATAGTCAGCAAAAAAAAAAAAAAGATAGGGCCAGCGGGTGGCATAGTGGTTAAGCTTGCGGGCTCCAGTTTGGCAGCCCGGGGGTTCAGCTTCAGATCCCAGGTGTAGACCTAGCACTGCTCTTCAAGTCACGCTGTGGCAGTGTCCCACATATAAATAGAGGAGGACTGGCATAGACATTAGCTCAATGACAATCTTCATCAAGCAAAAAGAGGAAGATGGGCAATAGATATTAGCTCAGTGACAATTTTCCTCACCAAAAAAAAAGAAAAGAAATTACAATAAAATACAAAATTCTCATGAGCTTTAAGTTTCCTTTTTATTTATTTATTTTTTTAAAGCTTGGCACCTGAGCTAACAACTGTTGCCAATCCTTTTTTTTTTCCTACTTTTTCTCCCCCAAATCCGCCCCCCCCCCGCCCCCCCAGTACATAGTTGTATATTTTTTAGTTGTGGGTCCTACTAGTTGTGGCATGTGGGACTGCGCCTCACCGTGGCCTGACGACTCGTGCCATGTCCATGCTGGGGATCGGAACCAGCAAAACCCTGGGCCTGGGCCGCCGAAGCCAAGCAGGCAAACTTAACCACTCGGCCACGGCGCCGGACCCTAAGTTTCCTTTTTATAAGTGCTCCAAAACAAGACTGACAATAAGGATGCAACTATATTTGAAAGAAATTCTGCAAAAACACTAAACCTGAGTTGTTTGCCCTGTAGAATTTTTTTCCGCCATTCAATTCAAAAGATACACAGGACTGCCCCACTTTTAACAACTTTGAATTGCCACAGAATCCATTTAAAATTCCACAGGCATTTTAAAAATGGGCAAAACTGATTAATATACAGTCTTACTTTTTCCCAGTTACTCCTAACTTGCATTCAAGCACTTCACTTTTCTGCCTAAACTCTCTCTCCTCATAGTTATCAGATAGTGTCGTTTGCAGAGCTGCTGAAACCCCCACCTTCCCCAACTACTAGAGGCAGAATTACACCAGTGCGCTTTGGTTGAGGTAAAAGGAAACAAACATAAGCTAAGGCATAGTCAACACTTCTTATATTCTAGGTACTAGACTAAAAAGTTCCACGCCCTACATCGGGCAATCCTCATAAATAAGCCATTCGGTGTTCTATTGCTATCTCAATTTACCAGAAGAAATAGTTACAGAAAGGTCAAATAACTAGCCCAGGGCACAAGACAAACAAGTCGCAGGAAAATGGAGTGTTAACAGCTTCTTTAGTAGGCTTCTAGGAGAATTACCGTAATGCATGCAAAGTGCTTAGGGCAGTGCTTCACATAAGCAATCAATGGATCAGTTACTGACATTACAAATTAGGAAACCCAGGAAGTGACCTGCGGAGGTCACACTGGGGAGCGGTGAAGGATTCAGAAACCCGAGCAAAACCCGCGCTCAGCTCCGTCCCTGCACAGAACCGCATCCCGCGTTCGCCGCAGTCCCGCACGTTCCCAAGTTCGCAAGGCGGTCGCTCCCGCCTTTCACAACGTGCCTAATCGGAGACTAAGAGCCGGTCACCTGGCGCGCTGCTGAGCTGGAGAGCCTGTTCGGAGCCCTGGACCCGGGTGCAGCCTGGCGGGTCGTCGGTCGGGGAGGCCCAGGAAGGCCCCGATGAGCGGCCCCAGGGGCCCACGCCGCGAGCGCGCGGCCGCGCCACCAGCCCCGGCCCGAAAGAGTCCACATCCCCCCGGGCGACGGAGGCATCACGCGATGGTCCCGGGACGCAACGGCGCCATGCCCGCGGCTCGGCTTTCTCAGGAACGCCCCACCGGGCGCCACCGGGCAGGAGTCAACCAGCCTGTCAAGAGCAGAGAGAAAATCGTGCGGCGCACAGTACCGCCCAACTAGCGCCGCCCGTGGGACGCCGGGGACGCAGCGCCCCGCCTCGTCGGCCGCCCGTCGCAGATGTCGTGACGTCATGGCGCCTCGTGCGGGGTAAGGAAGTCAAGTGAGGGGAAGCGCTCTCGTGCGTGTTAGCTGTGCTTTTAACATAACGTCGGGGTTTAGCCTCCTGGCAAGTGGCAAAATACTGTTGCAACTTGTTAGATCTGGAAGTTGAGGGTCCAGTCCCGTGGCCACGTGGTTAAGGTCGGGTGCTCTGCTTTGGTGGCCCAGGGTTTTCTGGTTCCGATCCTGGGCGCGGACATGGCACCGCGCATCAGGCCATGTGGAGGCGGTGTCCCACATGGCCAATTAGAAGCACTCACAGCTAGAAGATGCAACTATGTACTGGGGGGCTTTGGGGAGAAAAAGAAAAAGAAGAAAAAAAGATTGGCAACAGATGTTAGCTCAAGTGCCAATTGAAAAAAAAAAACTCTGGAAGTCGAAATGTATTCCTTACGCTGTCGGTGTATAGCGCATCTGAAAGGAAATAGACCATAAACTTGACTGTAATAATGTATCCTAGGAAAGTTTCGGCCAGAAGTGAAGGTGAAAAAAATTTACACACTGAACGCCCTAATGTCTCCATCATCTTCAAGCTACGACTTCAACAAATGTTCACCTTGCAGAGGGCAGAACTCTGACTAAGGTGGGAAATACGGAATGAGACCGTATCCAGTATCTGTCTCCTACTCTTCCTTCGGTCTTTCTGGAATATCCAGAGTTTGGTGCAGAGGAAGGATATAGCAGCTGTGTTGAATTCACCATTGTATTGTTTCTAGTTTGTTCTTGGGACTGCTATAAATTAAAACAGTACTTGATACACCATTAATTGCTCCTGTTACTGTTAGAGACCAAACTTGACAGTTACCTTGAAATGCAATGAACACAATAATTCATAATAGTTTATATAAATCAGTGTTGCCCCAAACTGCAATAATTTGCATTTTCAACATATCCTCATACGGCTATTATATATTTAATATTTTTCTTTAAATCAATGTCCCTTCTATACTTTTTTAAAGGAAAAATTTGTATCATTACTAGAAGTGGAAAAAGCACTATGACCTGTCCTAAGTAAAAACTAATGAATGAAAAATGTGATTCAGTTCTAGCTAAGATGTCACCTGTTAAAAGCTCCGAACCTGTCTTGATTAACAACGGAGATTAGCGGCTGCAGGTTGGCATGGTGATTAAGTTCATGCACTCTACTTCAGTGGCCCAGGGTTCCTGGGCCTGGATCTCAGGTGCGGACCTACACACCACTCATCAAGCCATGCTGTGGCAGTATCCCACATATAAAAAATAGAGGAAGATTGGCACAGATGTTAGCTCAGGGACAGTCTTCCTCAAGCAAAAAGAGGAAGATTGGCAACAGATTTTGGCTCAGGGCCAATCATCCTGACCCCCCCGCCCCCCAAAAAAAAAAAAAAAACCCGGAGATTAGCAGGAGCTAGAGAAGAATTTAAAAACAGCACCAAACTGAGACTTTTCTCCTTGACCTAATCAGCAGTATTGAAAGGAGAATTTTCTTTGTATGATTCAATAGCCTTAATGCCATGTCTATTTCTCACTTAAAGTCATGTTGATACCTCCATTAGTCCCCCACTTTGAGAATACTGCAGTATCTTATGTGGTTGATGTTATATGCCCAAGCCAACAGTTAAAATATGTATTCATTAGAAAAATACTCACTAAGCATCCTGTGTCGGGCAATGTACTAGATGCTGAAACTCAGAAAAATTAAGCAAATTGTCTGAAATCACATAATAGGTAAATGGCAAAATCTGTATTTGACTTCAGGTTGCTAGAAAACAAGCTCATCCCTCTGCAGGATCTTTGACAGCATGACTTTATTTAGTGTTCAACCTGGGAAGAAAGGGGAGTTTGAGTCTAAAGTTTCAAAGTGAAGGTCTATTTTCTTCTGAGCCTTGAAGGACAAAAGTCTTTCTCAAGGAGCCTAATGAAGTAGAGGGATCATCACCAGCATAAGCGCACTTACTGTAACTGTGTTCCCAGTTCTAGTCTACACACACTTGGTACATATCAACTAATTTAATCCTTACGGAGCCCTCTCAGGCAGGTATTCTTGTGATTGTTCCTGTGGTACAGATAACTGAGAAAAATGTGGCTCAGGTTTTTTAAGTAACTGCTCAGAGTCACACAGTTAGTGATGGAGTGAGCTGTGAGCCCAAGCAGTCTGGCTCCAGAGTCCATCCTTAACCATTCCATTATATGCTGCTGAGCAAGAGTAAATGAGTAAAACATATGATACATTGAGTTAATGGTCAGTAGAGGAAAATGGGCATAATTTGGGGTAGTGGCATTTTACTTGAGACAAGGATATCTGAAGAGCTTACATAAATAAAAACTCTCATAAGTCAGAATCATTTTCCCCTAGGAATAAATGTGTAATAGATTACCTTCTTACATAGCACATTAATCCACAACTGTTAAATTTATGTTTTTAAACATATTTGAAGGGTTTATTAGTTTGCTAGGGCTGCCGTAACGAAGTACCACAGACTGGGTGAATTAAACAACAGAAATTTTTTTTCTCACAATTCTGGAGCCTAGAAGTCTGAGATCAAGGTGTCGGAAGGGTTGGTATCTTCTAAGGCCTCTCTCCTTGGCTTGTAAATGGCCATCTTCTCACTGTGTCTTTCACGTGGTCTTCCCTCTGTACCAATCGGTGTTCTAATCTCCTCTTCTTCTAAGGACACTAGTCATATTGGATTTGGGCCCACCTTCATGACATCATTCTAACTTAATTACCTCTTTAAAGACTTTATTTTCAAATACAGTCACATTCTGAGGTGCATCAGGGGTAAGATTTCAAAACATTAATTTGGAGGGAGACACAGTTCAGCCCATAACAAAGGAAATAATAAATAAAAATGTAAAAATGAATAATAACTTTATCACCTCTAAATTATGTTTCAAAGTTATTGATATTTGGAGTATTTTTAACAGTAGCATACCATTAACAAACTTCACAATAGTGATCACAAGCACATGCACAAATTTATGGCTTATCCATGCGATATTGACAAAGGATCTCCGGTACTGCTTTTAGGCAGATAAAATGGTGCCACCGTGTGTCTACAGTGGAAAATACAGCTTAGAATTAGTTTTTTAAGTCAGTTTAAGTCTTTTGTGATTTATTTTTTTAGAATTTCATATATTTTCAAATTTTAGACATATATTAGGGCTTTATAAATACTTTTGGAACACAAAATCGAAAGTGCTTGGGGAAAGGAGGAGAAAAGTGGCAGAAGGTATCTATGGAAAGAACAATTTCAGCCAAGTTTGTGAAAGACTTTGAATAGAGTCTTGCTGGTTAGCATTTCACCATTATCCTGTGCAGCAGCCATTGTAAGCAAGGAAATAACACATCAGGTTTTTGCTTTAGGAAGCTTACTCTGACAGTGGTGTGTAAAAGGATTGAAAACAAAAGCAAAAGCAAATAAAGGGATGAAGGAGAAACAGACAGAGAGAGGAAAGTCTCCTATTTTAATAATCTAGGTGAGACACAGTAAGGGCCTGAATGAGTCACTGGCAGAGAAAAAGGATAAGGGAGTGATTGGTAGGATTTTTGGAGACAGAATTAACAGGGTTTATTTGATGGAGAGAGAGGAGGAGCGGTCCAAGATAACTCCAAATTTTCCAACTTTAGTAGACTGGAGAATGTAATTGATGTTTCCCAGAATGTGAAACTCAGATATTCAATATCTAACAGGTAGTTATAAATGGAGCTTGGGAAAAAGTTCAGGCTAGCGTTTTGGAAACCATATATAAAAACATAATAAAAATTGTGGTATTGGGTGAGTTTTTGAAGTCAGAGAGTAGGAAATAAAATAGTCGAGGACAGAATTCGACATGCTTTGGGGTGCCCTTTTGTGAAACGAGAGAAACAGTTCTCACAGTCACTGAATAGCATGTATGGTGTGTGTTTACATTTTTCAGAAATTCCCCAGAGTAGTAAGTAGAGCACAGTACTAAGTCATGGCGATGCAAAAATGAAATAGATATGGTTATGGTACTGAAAGGATTCAGCATCAGGAGGAGAAAGTCATTATATAAGAGATAACTGTATGACAATGTTGTAATTGCTATGATAGAAATATGGATGTGTTATTATAGGAGAACAGAGTCAAGGCAACTTCTACAATCAGGGCTGGAGGTATCAGAAAAGTGTTCACAAAGCAGGTGACAATAATGTTTATACACACTTAGAAGGACTTAATATGTGCCACATACTCTTCTAAGTACTTTATAAATATTACCTCAATTAATCTTCAAACAATCCTATGATTGGTATTGTTGTTCCTGTTTTACAGATGGAGAAAATGAGGCTTAGGCAGGTTAAATAATTTGTCTGAATTCACACAGATAGTATGTAGCAAAGGGACATTCAAACACCACTCTGATAGATTTCAAAACCACTGGCATTCCATTGACCACAAAGTTATGCCCCTTAACTTGGGTGTTAAAGGGTGAATCAAGTTTAATAGGCTGAGAAGTGAAAGTGGAGGGTGGCAGAAGGTCCAGAAAGAAGGTCCTACATGAGCAAAGTCATGATACATGCAGGAAACTTCCAGCACTTCTAGGTTTTGGGAATATAGAGTTCAGAAAGAGATGAAACTGGGAAGGAAATTAGGAGCCAGACCATAGAAGGAGGAGCATGGACTTCATGCTTCAGGTGATTGTAGCCATGGCAAGGTTAGAAAGGTTTTAGGCAGGGAGAGTCAAATGGCAACTGAGTGTTTCATGTAGGTCATTCTGACAGCAGCTTGAAGGCAGGGAATAAGTTAGATTTAAGAGATAAATGATGACAGCTTTTGAGGGTAGTGGTAATGTGGAAGGAGAAGAAAGAAATTTGACTAGAAAGTAAAATTAGTCTGCCTCAAAAAGGGTATAGAATGTGAAAGAGGTGATTGCCTCTTACTAACCCAAGGTAAAAAAAGATTTTCCTATTTCACACTTGAAATGTATCAACTCGTCTCTGATTTCCATTCATCACAGATATTGTCTATTGGTTTAAAAAAGTAAGAAGACAAGGTAAGAGGCAACATTTAGTTTTGTTTAGCACTGTTGAGACTCCTGGGGCGGTCTTGTCAGATGAAGACCAGTTCAACTACTTTCTAACTTCATGGGATATTGGTCTTAATGATTAAAAAAAAAAAAACTCAAAAGTAAAGCTATGGTTCACAGATTCCTCAGTGAAACTTACTGATTCAGGGATCTAGAAATAACTGAAATGACTTGTCTTTGGCATCTTATTTTTACTGTTTGGGGTTACAGGACCTGTTTGATGCTTAAAGTCATTGACCTGCTGAGACGATGTGCTGCTCACGCACCAACAGCCTGGCTGCTTAGTTCATCAGTCTAGTAGCTTCCGTACCCCAAGGGAATGCCCAACAATGGCTGTGCTCCTTGGACTGTCATATGTTTGGGAGCTCACATCTTCACTAGTAACACTGTGAAAGCTCTATCTTCTTCCAAATGCTGTGTCAGTCAGCATCTGTATTTCATTTAAGAAGAGAACTTCATTAAGAGTTTGACAGATTTTGCTATAAAAAGTTAAATTACTTATAAATAATTTAATATGGATATTAATGTGTAATTTTTATCCTCAGAAAATACGAGGAAGCATAAGATTAGAAGTGTTTAAGCTGAAAAAGTATTCCAACTCAACATGTACAGCAGTTGCTAAATAAGGGGAAGCAATAAAAGACACCTTGGTTATTACAATGTGTCCACCAGAAGGTGTACTGTCCTGATCCGAACCATGTAACTCTCACAGCACATCAGGAGAGTGTTCTCCAAAGGAAAAGGC